CAAACACCCAAATCCAAGGGAAATTGCCCTCTAACATCCTCCATTTACCCAATCTCCAAGAGATAGATTTGTCACAGAATGAAAACCTCAGAGGTGAACTTCCAACGTCCAACTGGACTATTCCACTAAGAGTTTTGTCTCTCTTTGATACTGCTTTCTCAGGATACCTTTCCTATTCCATAGCCTACTTGAAGTCTCTTCACACACTAGATCTTTCCGGTTGCAATTTTGATGGATTTCTTCCACCATCATTGTCTAATCTTACTCAACTTTCTCTCTTGGATTTATCATATAATCAGTTGAAGGGATCAATACCACAATCTTTGGCTCGCTGTACAACACTTGAAGTTTTGGACCTTGGAAACAATAACATAGAGGATCTGTTTCCCTATTCGTTAGAAACTTTACCAAATTTACAGGTCCTCAGTTTACGGTCAAATAAATTTCATGGTATCATCACTTCTTCGGACACCAAACTTCCATTTCCCAAGTTAAGGATTTTTGACATATCCTATAACTATTTTACCGGAATCCTGCCAGTGTCATACGTCCACAACTTTCAAGGAATGGTGAATGTCAATGACAACCAAACTGGTTTGAAATATTTGGATAAGAAGATATTTACCATTTTCACAATCATTGATTTATCAAACAATATGTTTGAAGGAGAAATTCCGAAAGCCATTGGAGATTTGCATTATCTGCAAGGGCTTAACCTTTCACACAATAAAATCATTGGTATCATTCCATTGTCATTGGGTAGTTTAAACAATTTATACTGGTTGGACCTCTCATGGAACCAGTTGACGGGTGAGATTCCCATGTCACTAGGTAATTTAAGCAATTTGGAATTGTTAGATCTCTCATGGAACCAGTTGAAGGGTGAGATTCCCATGTCACTAAGTAATTTAAGCTATTTGCAATTTTTAGATCTCTCATGGAACCAGTTTGAAGGAGTGATACCTACATGTACACAGTTTGCTACATTTTCAAATGATTCATATGCTGGAAATTTAAAGTTGTGTGGAATCCCTTTGTCAAATGCCTGCAACGAGGATAACAAAAGGCTACCAAATTCAACACTTGGCAAAGAAAAATCAAGATTTGGGTGGAAACCCGTTGTAACCGGATATGTCTGTGGGATGATCTATGGAATAGCATTGGCTTATAATGCATTCTTCATTAGAAAACCCCAATGGCTTATAAGACTTGTTAACGTTGTGTTAAATGTGAAACTGATAAAAACAAACAACAGAAACCGTGTAACTAGATGATGAAGAAATTAGTTTAGTGAGCTTTTGTTTTAATTATGTGTTTAAGGGTTTGTTGATTTTTATTTTTTTTGGTAAAGCTTGTTTGTATATGGAATGAAATCTCATCTGTTATAACATCATTGATTTATTCAGATGTGGAAAGGCATTGTAGAAAATTCACGCCTTCAAACTATAATAGTCACTGAAGTAGCAATGAAGAAATTGTACTGTTTTCTCGGGCGACTTACGTTTGCGAAAAAGTTGGAACTGTGTTTTATCGTTTGCGACTGACTAGTTCCAACCCGATCATCCCGTCAACCCAGGCCAACCTGACTAGTTCTCGAGTCAGTTGTTGTGGTTGCAACCACTTGTAAGATGCAATTAGTAGTGTAAGTTGTTGTGGGTTCTTGGATACTAGCCCTTGGTTGCTTTATTAAGGTGAAAGACTTGAAACAACTCAGGTGAATTTGCATTTTAAGAAATCAAATCTCAAAAGTACTAATATAGGAATGTTATTCTAAAACACATATTTAGTTGATATTTAATAACGCTAAAATAAAGTTCATTTTTCAATTAAAATTTAAAAATAAAAGTGAAAAGGAAAATCAGAAGAATGTA